CAGGTTTATGGGATTGATCATTATATTATGCAAAGTAATTAGATTACCATACTGAAGGAAGAAAACCACAAATGATTCAGGGTTCTGGGTGTAAGTGGAGTGCAAGAGATCAACAAATTCTGACCATTAAAGTGTTAAAAGACCACAATTGACTTTTTGTGGATTAATTTGGTGCAGAGTAGATGGTTGTTTACTGATGGTTTCTTAATGAATACACCACATTTGGACAAATCTGGATCTTGCTCATAAAAGCTTGTATTCCCTGCTCTGCGCTGTCCTTGGTCCAGAAATACAGAGAAGGTCAGACTAATTGACTTCAGTGTTCTGTTCTTGGGCCCTGTCTGGACAGCTTGCTCTGCAGGCATCAGACCTTGTTAATTCTGTCTCAACAGGTGCTGTTGACGTACTCTGGCACCGAGCTCGCTCTGAGGATTTGACGTGTGCAAACAAGGTAGAGTACATAAAGAAGCATGTTCGAGAGAAGGTAAGCAGGTGTGCTGAGCTGCCGCAAGAAAGACAGTCCATCAATCCGAGAAACAGAAGCACCAAGATTTGAATTCTTCTGTTTCCCAGGAGTTAAAGGAGCTTTTTGTTGTGTCTGAACAGCAGCTGCAGTATGGAGCCCATCTCTCAGACCATGGAAGCAGCAGATGCTCATCTGCAGAGGCGTGGGTGGAGGTTTGTGACCAAACGGGGAGCCTCATCGCAGTTTGTGGGGAGCACCATGATGATCATGGCCACTTATGCCGTCACCACCCTGACTATGAACCTGGGGAAAAAAATACAGGAACGAAGATCGAGACCGAACGGCAACTAAAGATGGCCTCATCAGAGACCCGGACTCACTGCCTTCACCCTGTAATGATGTCGGCAGCAACGCCCGGAAGAGATCAGAAATGGTTGGCCTCAGCTTTGGTGCTTCATTCAACTCATCTCAACTTTCCTCTCTGAAGCTGGGAGGTGGTCTTTCACCTTAACCTGAGGTCATTATCATAAATGAGTGATGACAAATGGACGTGAATACATCACATGCACTGCTGCCATGTGACCACAGGGTGGAGAACTGGGACTACTTCATGACAACGAGCCACCAGCCCACTAGAGGCTGAATGTGTCTGACAGTTCAGACATTAAAAAACAAAGACGGTGGCATTTTCTGAACCCTTTAAATGCATTTAAAGAACGATGATTAGAGCTATGTTGATGTTCTGTGACTAACAAGTAGAACTCTGATAATTTGTTCTTGTATTCTGAGTTTCTTTCTTGTTTTTTTAAATCATCATAAAGTTGCCTTTTAAGTTTAAAACAAGCCTGTGTGACAGCGGATTGTAAAAACTGTAAAATGTCAGGTCGCTCGAGTGTTTCTTGTGAGACAGGAAATTATTGTAATGCTGTGCTGAATCACTGACTTTAAATAAATGATCAAATATATTCCAGTTTTAAGATTTCTCTTTTGATTTCTGTTCAATCCAGCAAGCATTTGACGTATATAAATGAAAAAGATTTGGAGGACACAAAGTGACAGGTGCTTTGAAATGTAACTCCTGATGTAATGAACAAATGAATCATAGTGTAATTCTGTCTTCATCCATATGCCAAACACTGGACTCCTGGTGACATTTGAAATGTGTCCTGTTAGCAAAAAATGCCGACTTAATTATTTAAAAAAACAAACAAACAAGAAAAACAAGAATTTGGTATTTGACCAGTGACATTTCTGTCAACTAAAAGGTCACTGAATTTGACCTTTTGTTAGAAAAAGCACCGAGCAGCGGTTCATTGTACCATTTAAACGGTTCAAATTATTATAAACGACGCCTCACTGAGAATATAATGCGAGATCATTTTTTCCTAAATAATGAAGGAGCTTTGAATGATTTCCCCATGTTTACAACATAATGATATCCTGATGTTGTCTTCATATAAACCACGGGGTTTCTATTTTTCCACATGGAGAGTAGGCTGAGGTTGGTTGTCACGTGGCTCGTTACTACCACATTAGAGGACAGTGGTGAATTCTGTCGACATCACATTTTGACTGACACCTGTGAAAAATACAAAAAAACATGTTTAAACTGATGGGATAAATAGGTGGTGAAAATGTATTGATTAAAGTCTATTTACATTTATCAATCGCCATTTTTTTACTAAAACCCCACTGATAACTATAGGAACAACCAACTCCACATCATGACAACCAAACCCATGCTATGGGGTAAGTAGTCACAAAGAGACAGATGGCTAACTACTGGCACACAAGTTGAACTTCCATCATATGAATACAACATCATTGTATACATAAGGTCCAGAAACCTCTTGATTCTCTGGGTCTTTATTTAAAAGTGGACTGAAGTCTAAGCACCCAAAAACGTGAAATTTGTTTTGAAAATCGTTTAATGCACAGTTCAAAAGCCAGCATCTGTGACAGTTATGGGAGCACATGGCACAGGTCGTTTGAGCATCTATGAAGGCACCATTAATCCTACTCAGATGCTGTCCTCCAGATGACATCTTTTCTCTTGCCCGCTTCATAAGACGGTGCCAAATGACATTCCAATGGCGAAAAAAAGAGTCCAAATATGGCCAGACCTACCACTCACTGAGCACATTTGGCACATTATGAAACAAAAAAAGCAACAAAGGAGGCGGGAAACTGTTGAGCTGCTGAAATTGTATATCAAGTAATAATGAGAAAACAGCTCTTCGAGTGTTGTTAAAAGAAGGGATGATGCAGCACAGTGGGAGGAAAAAGCCCTTATAGTAACATTTTATTTAAGTGACCGGGTTTAGATTGATTGAAATTTATTCTGTGGACACTGTGTTAACAGTTAGGACAATTAGATACTATTAGGCACAGAGGAGTGGATATTGGTATGGTATACCTCCCACACAGCCAGAATTTCAGTGCTTTGGTTTATTTGCCTTGGGTAAATTTGCACAAGTGCTACAGTGTTGTGCAAAAGCTTTATTGGTTCTGATGACGCAGTATCACCTGGGATCAGTCTGATTATCAGGGAGAGCAGTGATCAGTCTGCAGCAGCAGCACCATGGAGTCAGGCTGAGATCACACAAAGAGACAGCCCTAATCCACAGGTGTGTGCGAGTGTACTGAGGAGATCTGGTGATGTTGGTGGTCACAGCCAATATTAATTGCAATTATTGTTTGCTCTTTGCACATGCCATCAAGCTGCTAATAAAAACTGTTTGTGAGTGCATCCTCAATTATAGCTCAACTCTGCTCATTTGCTGACTGGCTTTCATGCACTCGTGCTGATGGGAAACACTGATTGTTGTCAATTTCTGCACTCACGTTTTCCTGTTTACTTCACGTCTTTGTCCAGTTATTTGGGTATGTTTTCATGAACTCACAAATGCAATTTTCAGTCCGGCTACTTGAGCTATTAGCGCAGCCTTTCTGGTGCCCCCTTGGCCACTGTAGCACCCTCTGTTAAAAACGGCTTTTGTGCACAACATAGACCAAGAGTTTTTAGAAAGCTTCTCAACTCCCTCACCCTTTCTCTTTCCAAAATTTCATGCAGCTGCAGGACTGCTTAGAGCGTCTGCCACCCCGGGAGTAATCGGTCAGTGTATCAAATCAAAGAAGCCCTAAATGGTGGAAATGAATGTTTGGCACTCAGTGAGTCAACAATGGTGGGTGATGCTGCTTTGCCAGCTGAGGGCCAGCCTAAAGGCTCAAGCGCAGGCAGAGACCCAACCCTGTTAAATGAGAACGACAACAAGGGTACACGGAGAGCAGCCTCTGTCCTCCCTCTCTCTCCCTTCCCTGAATAGTTCCTCACAAAGGATATTGTTATTCCCTCTCTAATTACCAGCTGAAGAGCTGTTTGTCCACGTCTCACTCACTGCGCTCTCACCCCCAGAAATAAAGTGCTCTGTGGTGATGACCCTCAGCAGTTATGAAACAGTCTGGTGGACAATAGGGCCTCAGCTAACCCTCATTGCCTCCTTCAGCCGGTACAGTTTGCATCTCAGCTGAGTCTCCACCGAGACCATTTCGTCTGCGCTCAATCTGTGTGATTATTTGACGGCCAGTCGTTCTGGTCCCTTCCTGTCCCTGCACGGTTTTGTTGCCAAAACCAATCATGTCTAAGACATGTCACCACTTTCGCAGTCTTGGTTTTAGGCCGTTGTATCTAGGCCACAAGACACTCTCCATCTGCTCTTATTTGGTGGAAAGCCTTAGGAGGGCACTCAGAGAGAGAGAGATGCATCCAGCCAGGGATTAGGTTGGTACAGCAGGTCCAAGGGGAGGTGAGATTAAAAGCCAGGAGCAATAAAACACACGGTGGAGAAATAAGTCATGTCTGTCTACCCAAACTGAGGCCATGCACTATGAGGCAGTCCTTGAGCAAATCTAAAATTGATAACATGCTTTTGGAGAATTCAACCTCTGCTAGTACTTCCAGTAAGGTCACTGACTCCTATTTTTTATTTTCTTTCACACAAATGACCCACATGCATCCTCTAAAACATAAGAGAAAAATAAGGTGCACTAAACTCTGCCTTTGAGTTTGCAGTGCGCAGCAGCTTCGCGGTGAGTTCACGGTGTTTTGTTCCCGCAGAGATTTGTGTTCACTGTCCTCAGCATATCATGCGGTATTAAATCTCAGCTGTACCCTCCTCTGACCCTGTTATCTGAAAAAAAGAAGTCCTGACCTCACTGTGTGTATGTGAATATGGAGGACAGGTGTGACTCAGCACCACCTGCGATTGAGTCTGTGAAAATGAAGGGCAGTTGAGTTGAACGCTCGCGTGTTTTCATGACATTTCATTTCTCCCGTGTTTCCAACCAAAGGCATTACTCGGAAGGGTAGAAGGAAAGCTGATAACAAGGAGGATTTGGTAAACATCCTATTGGGAGATTAACAAGGAGGGAGTCCGGTCTTTTCTGTGTGTGTGCGTGCGCGCATGCAACGGAGGGAGGGATGGAGAGAGAGAGAGAGAGCGAGAGAGAGAGCGAGAGAGATAGGGCTTCCCAGAATGGGGCAGAGCAGGGAGGGGGTGAGTTGCCTGCTGGACGGGACTGAAACGTCCTTCATATAAACCGGTGACAAAGTGGCGAGCAGTGGGCCCCCGGGCGGCAGAGATCAGAGCCAGTACACAGACGCAGAGACCGAGAAGAGGAGACCGAAGCACCGAGCAGCGCGCACGGCGGTGACTGGAGCCACAGCAACACAACGAGGAGACCCGCGAACACAACCAAACTAATCCGGACGGAGCCGTATTTATTCCCGCCTACAGGTAAAACCCACATGGATGTGCGGAGAGACTGAGCTCCACCGGGTTTTTGTAATCTTGAGGTACAATTTAGGAGAAGAATATCCACACAGAGCACAGAGGGTCACACCTCTTGTAGCCTACCTGTTCGCGCGATGTTGGATGGATATTTTGTAGCAGATGGGGTTTGTCTTGTCCTGTCTATAAACTCACTAATGAGCCCGCAACCCCACCCCCCTTTCCCCATAACTGCGCTTTTAAACCTTTGACTCGCAGCTTTTTGAAGCATTAAAATTATCTGCGTAGACTTTTAGTTGTAGTTTTGAAGCCTTCACGTGTGTTTTGTTTCCTTCTTAATAACTGACAGAAAAAAAATTTCTGAAAAGCTTTAAGGGAGAGAAAAAGGTTATTTCTACATTATATTTTCAGCGGCTCTGTCATGCGTAAAGTCGGGGCCACCTGCTCGGGGCCATGTCCCCGCGATCAGCAGATTTGTTTAATTCGCGTCATGTAGGCGACACATCGACCGCAAGCCTGTCAGATTAAACGACTACGCATGTCAGCCATGTCAGCACAGTGCCTTAGTTCCAACTAATTAGGCTCACCCTGTCTATACTAGGTCACCACACGGAGAGCTAAACAGCCGGCGCTGGTATACACTTATACTCTGTAACTCAGCGTATGCCATATGACTGACTCTGTGGGTGGATGGAACAGATTTAATTGCAGAATTTGCATCCAATATGTTTGATTCCCCCCCCTCTAGCAAACCTTTCAGTTATTATTGTTATTATTATTTGACGTAGTGCAAACCATTTAGTTCTATTTTTATAATGATTCGGGACTGTGTGTGTGTTTTGTTTTTTTTTTCTTCTATGCTGAACACTCTTGTTCATGTGTTTGTATCTACAGAGATGGACCTCACCTCATCCCCTTCGCTATTAATTTGCGTGGTTTTGGCGGCCGCCCTGATTGGCGGGACCCGCTCGGAGGGGGTGTGTCTTCAAGATGGTAAACACAAGGCCACGCCCAGCCCGGAGCCACACCTGACTGAGTGCTCTCTGTATGCAGACAGTGAGTGATCTCATTTTCATAGTCTGTAAATCTTGGAGATGTTGGAGAACCAATTAAATCTCAAATTAAATCTAAGAACAGGCCCACGTTGATGTGTTTCTCTCTTGTTGCTGCTACAGATAGCTGCTGCACAGAAGAACAAATCCAGGACATCTCTCATGTTCCTTCTGCCAATAATCAGAATGAACCCTGGGACAAGTGTGGATCCCTCAGCCCTGAGTAAGCCTTAACCACCCTTCTGGTGTCCTCAATATTTTATTCATCTGCTCTTTTAGCCCATTGTTGCCTCTTAATGGTGATATTTTGCTGCTTCAGTTATCCATTTGTATTTTTATCAGTATTTTCAGTCTCATCAGACTGCTGTTTTCAGGAAAAAGCTAAAAACCACCAATTAATGACTGGCGGAGACCAGAAATTGTGCTAAAAGAGAGTCACTACTGAATTTAAAGTCATCAGGTATCCAGAAATACAACTAGAAATGACAAGTTTGAACATGAGCTGCTTAAGCCGAGAGATAATATGTAAAATAAGTCAATATTATAGTTGTTTTTATTGCTACACGTTAGCTTAAAATCACTAGTGCTTGCTTTTATTAGCTTATTTCACATTTAATGGCTTTGTGTTTGATCTAGTTCTTCATTCGCTCTGTATAATCTATCGTTAACAGTAAGGGCCTGTGCATGTAGTCAGTACAGAATTTTAAAGTGTTAGTGGAGCCAATAAGGATGGATTTTCTGAAATAATAAATGGCACCTTAGACAAAGAGGCTGCCAGTTTACAGACAGCAACAGCAAACACATGATCAAGTAGGTCAAATTGAAAGAGGCATTTAAGTAGCATTAGCCAAAGCTGGGCAAACATACTTAAGGGATCAACAGCAGCAATGATACTAATCAACTGCTCGTATTCCCCATCTTATTTAGCGTTGTTTTCTTGACTTGTCTTGTGACCGGCTGTTCCGAGTTTAATACAGACTTCGCTGGTCAGTAACAAACATGACCTCTTGTGTCTCCCCAGGTGTGAAGGCTTCCTGAAGCGCGTGTTGTGTTTTTATCGCTGCTCCCCTGACGCTGCTCGCTGGCCTCATCCTCAGCGCAGCTCATACATCCAGGCTGTTCCTCTCTGCCACAGCTTCTGCCGTGATTGGTGAGGCTGCCAGCACGTTACCAAACAAACTAAAGTCTAAATCCCCTGTCAGCGAAGGGATCCCTATCTTGGACAACAGCATACTGTGCTAAGATAGAGTGTCCAATAAAACTGTATGACACAGATGAAACTGTGCTGCATATATCAACCATATTTTATTTTTTAAGAAGGTGGCAAACACACAAAGCCTAGCACAAACAGCTTCATTTCATGGGTCCTATGTAAGAAAAAAAAAATAAAAAATAAAAAATGAGACAACACTGGAAAGATAAGTGAAAGAGTGTTGTAAAGAATTAAAGGGCTGCTCTCTGCAAAAATACTTAAAAATTACTTAACATTTTGGAAAATATTCTTTTTGGCTTTTCTGTTAAGAGTTGGCTTAGGATGATTAATGCTACTAGAAGCTTGTTAGCTTAGCACAGACACTAGAGAATGTGGCTTTATTCAAGTACATTTGAAAAATATATATATAAGTTCAGAAAGATGCTCTAGAAACTTACAGATCCTAGAGTCTAACAGCTCATAACAACACCGCTTGTCACTTTCACACTGGATTTTTGTGAACATTAGACAAACAACATAAGGATTAACAAGCTTACAATGCGCTATTTCCAGTCTTAATACTCAGCTTATGTAAGAAGCTGCTGGTAACTTTATATTTAGCATGAAAGTGAAATCTTTTCATTTTAAGCTCGGAAAGAAAGTCGCTAAGATGTTCTTTTTTT